AAAAAAAAAAAAAAAGACAGAACACTACCATCAAGCCCAGAGACTCCACTCATCCTCTTTTTCCAATATTTACCATGGAGGCTTCTACCAGCATGGATTAGTTTTTCATGTTTTTGCTCTTCATATAATGGAACCATATAAAATGTACTATTATTTGGTTTTGTTCTTAACGTTATCTCCTATATGAAGTTCTTCTATATCATTCTGTATAGTAGTAGAGCAGTGATTCTCACTGTTGTGTAAAATCCCTTTGTGTAACTACTACAATCAACACACTCTATCACTAATGGAAAATTGGGTGGTTTTCAGGTGCGTGTGTGTATTTTAGTGAACATACAAACAAATTTATCTGGCACATACCTAGAAGGGAACAATTGGACCATAGTGTAGACATTAGGTAGATGAATGTTCAGCTTAAGAAGCTATTACTAAACAATCTTTTAAGGTGGTAGTATAAATTTGTAGTCTCACGAGAGAAATATAAAAAGTTGTTGTTCCACATTCTTGTCAATACTTCCATATTTTCTACCTTTATCAGTTTAGCTACTCTGGAGGGTACAGAGTATATACCAGTGTGGTTTGAATTTTTATTTCCCTGATGATAACGATGCTGAACAAATTCTATGTGTCTAATGACCATTTGGATAACTTTGTTTTGAAGGATTTCTCCAAGTATTTTGCCAATTTTTCTATAGTTCTTGTTGGTTTATAGTTCTTTATATATTCTGATTACAAGTTCTTTGTTAGATGTTATCACAAGTATTTTCACCAGTCTGTAGCTTACCTTTTGACTCCCCCGCAACCCCAGTATCAGGGACTGTGCCCAGGAACATTCTACCTCTGAGCTACATCTCCAGCCCCATCACTTGTTTTAAAACTTTTTTGAGACATGGTCTTGCTAAGTTGCCCCAACAGGACTCAAACTGGCATTCCTCCTGCCTCGTGTCCCAAGTACTGGGATTACAAGACTTTGCTGCCATGCCTAGATACTTTCCTATATGCTTTTTTCCCCCTTTAAAAACTTGTCCCCCTATTTTTTTAATGATAGACTTTAAAACATAAGTTTTTAATTTAGTAAGGGTACATCATTAATAAAAAATATAATTAGTAAACTTTTGTAGGATCAATAAACATTTTTCTTCTTTATTTTCAGTGCCAGAGACTGAACCCAGCACTTAATGCATGCTAGGCAAATGCTCTACCACTAAGCTACAACCACGAGTCTCCCAATTAACAAGATGTCTTCAACAACTTTTTAAGTAAATAATGGAAGTGAAATATGCTAGTCCGAAAAAACCAAAGGCCAAATGTTCTCTCTGATATGTAATGGTAACATACAATGCGGGGTGAGGGGAATAAAAATTCATCAGATTAGACAGAAGGGAATGAAGGGGAGGGAGGGGGTATGGTACGAGAATAGGAAAGACAGAATGAATCAGACAGTACTTTCTTATGTTTATATATGAATACATAGTCAGTGAAATTCTACATCATGTGCAACCACAAGAATGAAATCCTAGGGCTGGGATTGTGTGGCTCAGCGGTAGAGTATTCACCTCGCATGTGCGAGACCCTGGGTTTGATCTTCAGCACCGCATAAAAATAAATAACTAAAATAAAGGTATTGTGTCCAACTACAACTAAAAAATGAAATATTTAGGTTTAACTCTAACAAAATATAAACAAGATCTTTATAAGGACAACTAAAAACATCTGAAGAAAAAAACCAGAGCACTAAATATATGGAGAGATATTCCATGTGCAAAGAGAAAAACTCAATATTGTCAAGATGTCAGTTCTTCCTAACTTGATCTATAGTTCAATGTCATGACAAACAACATTCTGGCAAGTTATTTGTGACCATTAACAACTGTTCAAAAGTTTGTATGAAAAGGCAAAATCCCAGCATGGCTAACTTAGTATTAAAGAAAAACAAAACTGGAGGATTGATGCTACCTGACTTAAAATAAAGTTACAGTAATTAAGACAGCGTTATTAATAAAAGAAGAGAAACAGAACAGAGAGCCCAAAAATGGCCCGTTAATTCAGCCAAGAGATCTTTAACAAATGAGCAAAGGTAATACAAAGGAGAAAAAAAATAGTCTTTTCAACAAATAGTCTGGAGTAACTGCACATTCACATATAAATATGAATCTAGAAACAGACCTTATACCTTTCATAAAAGTTAACTCAAAATGGATCACATATCTAAATATAAAACAAAAATTATAAAGGCACAGTCCACAAAAGAAGGAACTGATAAGTTGGACTTTACTACAACTAAAAATGTTGCTATGTGAAAGATACTATCAAGACAAACCACAGACTAGGAGAAAATACATACAAAAGACATGTGATAATGAATACTTATCCAACACTCTTTAAAACTACACAATAACATTTAACAGCTCAATGAAAAAATGGGCTAAATATCTGAATATATACCTCACCAAGGAAGATATAGAAATGGCATTAATCATATGAAAAAATAACACTAAACACCTAGAATAATGGCCCAAATCCACAACACTGCAACTACTAATACTCATGAAAATGTGGAGCAACAGAATCCTCATTCAATGTTGGTGGGGATGCAAAATGGTATGGCCAATTTAGAAGACAATTTGGCAGCTTTTTTTTAATTTTTAATTTTTTAGTTGTAGATAGACACACAATATCTTTATTTATTTTTATGTGGTGCTAAGGATCAAACCCAGTGCTTCACACATATGAGGTAAGCATTTTGCCACTGAGCTACAACCCTAGCCCTTGGCAGCTTCTTAAAAAACTAAACATACTCTAATCATGAAATTCTACTCCTTAGTAACTACCCAAAGGAGATGAAAATATGTCCATATAACCACCTATAACAGGATGTTTACAGCAGTTTGACCCATAATGGCCAAAACACTTGAAAGGTGAATGGATTTAAAAAAAAACAAAGCTATAGTACATCAAGACAATGGAATATTATTCAGTGCTAATAAGAAATGTGCTGTCCAGTTATGAGAAGACATGATCAGATAATAAAAAAATCAAAATTTGTGATCTTGTGTGTGTTTAGACAGATGCAAGTATGTATATATACATTAAACATTTTAATTGTATG